GGTAACAACACTACACTGTAAAACCCAACAGTCGACTTTATCAAATGAAATAAGTGTAGTTAACTAGTTACTGAAAGTTAATTCTACTGATTTGAAAAGAGTTTTGAACTTAGTGTAGGAGGTAATGAGTTAATTAAATACCTCATTACTTCAAGTTAAATGGAGTAAGTTTCCAGTAGATTAGATTTTTAACTCAAATGGTTTGTAACAATCGGTTTGAGTTGCCTTAACCTATTGGGTTTTACAGTACTCAGATGGTTTAAGTTCTCTTTTTTTTTTTGAGTTCTGTCTTTTTTTTTTTTTTTACTGTGCTCAAACTGCTTTGTTTACTCAAATTGATTAGGTTCACAGTACTCAATAGGATTAGATTTTGAAGTTAAATGGTTTGTTGAAATTAGTTTTCTCGAATGGTTTGAGTTACCTTAACTTTTTGGGTTTTACAGTGTACATATACATGCCTTTGTTACACAGACAAAAACACAACCATTAGCAGGTTGTGATGAGAAAGTCTTATGATAAACCAACTGATCCAAAAACAAATTTCATAACAAGCAGAGAAACATATATAGAAGGAGCTCAGTGTCATTCACACAACAACTAAACACCATAATGGTATTGGTAACACAAAAAAAAAAAAAAAATTAATGCAATTAACATTATTTATCAACATCGGATGTAACATAAAACTCTAAAGTGCATAACTGATGAGAACATTTAAAATGTATGTTTTATTGTATATATTAGGGAAACTTACTACCTGAATTTTTACTGTAGAATTTTTACAGTTTTTCCACTGAAATTATAATTATTTTAACAGTGCAATTACATATTTTAATTACACGCTTAAAAATAAATGTTGCAAATGAAGGTTTTGCAATTTAACTATTTCTACAAGGAAACTTTTCATCTATTAAAAGAACATTGACTATTGGAAACCTTTTTGTGTGTGGAATAAAATGGTTTCATGGTTTTAAAGGTCCAAATAAAACCACTGATGCTAAAACAAAAACAAGATTTATTTTTAAAGGTTTAGACAGATAAATACTCAAAAATCCCATTTAGTATTTTTTGGTTTTGTTTGATTTTATTTCAACTAATAATGATTTATTATTATTATTACTATTATTATATTAATAATGACCACAAACAAAAGCCATAATGCTGTTACTGTAATTGCTTTCCAGTGCTTTGACAGTCTGTCATGCTTTCATCACCTGTACAGGAGCCTATGCAGAAGAAAAATGCGACAGTGCCTACTACTAAGAGCATAAACACCCAAATTGATGCATTATGCATTATTGTTATGTATTTCGTTTTTTCGCAGACATTTCGAGCAAGGTTTTAACCCATTAAATGCTTCATACATGCAGAGAGCACAATTATCGGGCGGCCTGCGACATTGTATCACTCACCAAATGAAGAGATAACGGAAGCATGAGCAAAAACATCCATAAATACAGGTGACACGAATTGTTGAATTTATTCTGGTCTGGATCATGATACCATCCGCCAGTCAGTGAAGCCCAGACTCCTTGGCGTAGCGTCTGCACAACTTGAGAGCCCATATTTGCAAAAAAATGGTCGCTACAAATATCTCATGCTGCAAGCTGCGAATCCGCACCGCGACCGTCCTCGACTCGCTGCCCCTGCGCGCGATTACATATTTACACAAGCTGCCTCTACATCTTCCCTCGAAAGCGTTTACTTTTCTTTTTCATCGTCCACGCCTTGGCCCCCTGTTTCCCGACATAAAAGCATTGGTTTGGTGCGGTGAAAGGCGGCCAGCAGCAGCATCCTCATGAGCGGAGAGGAGGGAGGGAGGACCGGACTGATTCGCGGAGATGCTCCGCTCCGCTGCTCACTGAGTCACGCGCGCCCCCACCCTGCGCTCTGGAAAATCAGCTCAAATACACAAACGGGACAGCAGGAACTTGCCCATTCAAGCAGCATCGTCATAGCACTTTTTAATAAACAAATAAATAAATAAATAAAAAGAAACAACGCAACGAACGGGTCAGCAGATATATTACATAGACCTTTTATGTAATTTATGTATTTTTTAATTAATGTTGTGTTGCAGTTTTTATAGGGTTTATGATCCCATTGGCCCCCTTGCCATCAGAAATAAAAAGGTGAAAGAGGTATAATGAATAGATCCACGGAAAAAAGTAAATTATTTATGCAGCAAATCCCATCCAGATGAAACATCACATTCCGAAGAACTCCCCCACTGAAAAAAATGGTACATTGCAAACTGTTGCAAACAATTTATATAAGCTGAATTTAAACAAACAAATTAAGTTGAACATTACTACATTTATTTTGTTGTTCAAATTCTACACTGTAAAAAATGCAGGCTTCCACACAATTTATTAATGTTGTCCCAACACAAATTAAGTTAATTTAACACTTTTAACAAATTTATGTGGATTGAACATAAAAATAAATTGTCCCAATAAAAACTCAAGAGTTATGTGGTTCAAGCTCATTTTAAATAAGTAGTTTGAATAAAAAATGTTTTTGAGTGTATATAAAAAGTTTCCATTTATTTAAAACTATTTAGTTGAATATTTTTTTTAGTGAAGTTACTTGTGCACTATCAATTTCCCTGCCTGCAATAAACATTTTGACCAATTCTTTTTCAATTTTTCCATAGTTTGTCTAAGAGAAAATGTTATTTTTTCTTCATATCAAATATACTATATCTTGTACAATCACCGTCCCCTCTTTTGTTCACATCACTTCATTTGATATGCAATATTATTTATTATATTGTTATGATTTTATATTCAAGTATAAAATCTTAAAATGTTTTTATTAAATGATTAGCAGGCAACACAGCGGCTCTGTGGTTTGCACTGTCACCTCAAAGCAAGAAAGTCGCTGGTTCGAGTTACGGCTGGATCAGTTTCTATGTGGAGTTTGCATGTTCTCCCCATGTTTGCATTGATTTTTTTCGGGTGTTCCATGTTCCCTTACAGTCCAAAGACATGCGGGAATTGAATAAAATTGGCCGTAATGTATGTGTGTGCATGAGAGAGTGTTTGCTTTGAGAGAGATTGTTTCCCAGTAGGGTTGCAGCTGGAAGGGCATCTGCTGTGTAAACATACGCTGGATAAGTTGGTGGTTCATCCGCTGTGGCGACCCCTGATTAATAAAGAGACTAAGCCAATATAGAAAATGAATGAATAAATGAAAATAATTGGCACATTTAAAACTGATATAAATGTACACATTTTAGGGTTATTATATTGTTATAAAATGAATATAATATAGGCTATTAGCTACTTTTATGTTGTTATGATTTAAAATTAAGCAAATCAAATATTTCATAGGTCCCAGATGCAATGCCACTGTGTGAAAGTACAGACAACCTAAATTTTACTCCAATAAAGGTATTAGTACATTTGTTTTATTGTACAAAAGTATTTGATTTTAAATGTTGCCTGCAGTATTTAAAGGGATGGCTCACCCAAAAATGAAAATTAACTCACATTTACTTACCCTCAAATGGTCCCAAACCTTTATGGGTTTCTTTCTTCTCTTGAACGAATATATTTTGAAGAAAGCTCTAAATATGTAACCATTGACTTCCATATAGGAAAAACAACTACTATGAAAGTCAGCGGTTACAGCTTTCTTTAAAATATTTCCTGTTGTGTTGAACAGAAGAGAGAAACTCATAAAGGTTTAAAACAAGTAAACGGGAAGAAAATGATTGCATAATTTTCATATTCCGGTGAACTCTACCCTTAATATTTAAAAGTAAGGGGTTGTTGAAAAAATATTTTATTTTCTTATATTGTCACAAGCTGATAGATTGGACTGATAAATGCTGACCCAACGACAGCTCTTTTCTAATATTTCCTATCTTTCCTAACACATTTGTAACCAAAAATTCCATATTGATAATTCAGAGGTATATATTAGTTCTGAAATTTACGTAAAACTTTTTGATGTATCAATATACAAATACATCATTATGTATTTTTATGTATTATTTAACATTTTGCACTGTGGGCAATCACAAACATGTCTGTTGAATGAGCCAATCAGCAGTGTTTATAGGCAATGAGAGTCAATGAGCAGCATAAAGAGATTTCATTGATTAAAACAGAAGTTTTTGAGAATGCAATACTGAAACAAATGACAGTTCTTAGTGTAAAGGGAATGCTTTTTTGCATGTTACAGGATATAATACATGCAGAATTTGAATGTAAAAATAAATCCATATGCTAAGAGGACTTATTATTAATCTTGTTTTTTTTTTTAAATAAAAAGTTATTGTGCTCATAGGATGCTACTGCATGTGCTTACATGAATGTACAGACACACAGAAGTGCAACCAAACACCATATGGCTTCAGAATACATATATAGAACAAGCTACTGTATATTGATTATTATGAAACCTTTAGTCTTTTTAAAGTCTGAAGAGGACAAGCACCCTCAATGCTGTTCAATGGACATGTAGGCTATTATAAATTATGTATTCATAATGTTATTCATGGTCTTTTTGAATCCAATAAAAACATATTTTTAAAAATGCAGTGTAAAATGTTAATATAATTTTGTATAATTGTCCTCTCCTTTGTCATTAAATAAATAAGTAACAAACAAGTGACACTCCCTAGTGAGATAATTTTTAAATATACTTTTTAGGCTTTGGCAATGTTATGTTTTATGTTTTAATTTTTTAAACCGCCTGATTATCTTAACGGGAGTAAACAATACAGAACTTTACTAGTCTTTACACTGTTGTTACATATTCTTTAGATTATTATAAACTGTATGTGTGATTTTGTATGTTAAAAACTGATTCAGATTATACTTTTTAGTTTAAAAGCAAGAAAGCGTAATGCATTATTATTATTACACAAAACTGCGTGAGAGGTACCACAACGTCGATGGCATGCTGATAAAAGGAAAAGTTCCCAGTTCCCACTTTTGTTTTTGCGCTCACGCATCGAGTCACGTGAACGTCTGTAACCAATCCATTTTTAGCTTTTCCTTCTCTCCTCTCGGGTCAGTCGAGTCGGCGGAGCGGAGAGGCGATGGCGGTGCGCCTATAAAACTCACCAAGCAAACTTTTCAGAGCTCTGGAAAAGTCTTTATATCCTCGCCAGAGGGAAAACCGTGAACTTTCAGATCGCTGGCGGAAGACTGAAGCTCGCGCGAGCTTGACTGCGGGGGCTGCTGTGTACGCGCGCGACGTGTCCTTGGCGACGGCTGAATTTCGGGAGTCGCAGTTTGTGAACTTCGGAAAGTGAGAGCTAACGCGTTAGCACGACTCTTTAGCCTGACCGCTCATGTAAAGTACCTTACCTAGACAAACGATGGCTGTGCGGATGTTTTTGTACGGGTAGAAATGTAAGTTAATAAGTAACTTAACTTAGGTAGTGTATAATCGTGTATATTTAGCTTGATTCATTCGCCTGGGATGAGCAGGTACTTTGCACCTGTAGCGCCACACGGTGTAAAAACCCAAGCTCTGGGTATGCTGTTTACCTTTTTAAAAAACAAATATTAAATTAGTTGGTTTTTCATATTAAACCTGAATGGGCATCCTAACAATGTAGGTTTCACTCTAGAATGTAAACAAAAAGTTAGCGTAACGTTAGCGAATACACCGGCTAATGCTGGTGTCACTTCTCACTCCCAGATTGGTTAACTTAGCTGGCTGACGTGGAAACAAAGCAATGCGTCTATTAACCTCTATTAAGCCGGATTTAACCTGACCCACTCTCCATTAATGATATAAAGTGACCTGGCTGGGGTTGTTGGGAACTTTTTGTGTGTGTATGTGCGCCATTGCGGAATACGGCTGTTGGACTAGGCTACTTTGATTTGACATCACGGCACCCTATGGTGCTCCTGCAAGCACCGAGACATGGATGTTCCCCAGGCCGTTTTCCCAAACGGTGAGGGGCGCCTGAGCCTTCAAGACCATGTCTGTACGGAGTCCTCCAACTCCAGGGCTTGGGCTCACTCTGCCCCCGTGTGTCCCCGCTCGCTCTGGACCGCGGTGTTTGACTACGAGGCCAGCGGGGAGGACGAGCTCAGTCTGCGGCGAGGAGACGTGGTGGAGGTCCTGTCGAAGGACGCTGCCATCTCAGGAGACGAAGGCTGGTGGACTGGTAAAATTAACCACCGCGTGGGCATCTTCCCATCTAATTATGTTACGTTCCAACCAGTCATTTACAGAGCGGTTGGGGCTCGAGAAAGCGACCCTTCCGCGCCTGTTCGGATACCTTTTTCTGAACTGGTTCTACAGGAAATTATCGGCGTCGGTGGGTTTGGCAAAGTCTACCGGGGAACCTGGAAGGTGCAGGAGGTCGCAGTGAAGGCAGCTCGACAGGACCCCGATGAGGACATTAAAGCGACTGCGGACAGTGTTAAGCAAGAAGCCAAACTTTTCTCAATGCTTCAACATCCTAACATTATCAAACTGGAGGGGGTGTGTTTGGAGGAGCCCAACCTGTGTCTGGTCATGGAATATGCCCGTGGAGGGACTCTGAACCGTGCTTTGACCGGCAGGAGGATCCCCCCTCACATCCTCGTGAACTGGGCCGTCCAGATCGCCAGAGGCATGCAGTATCTCCACGAGGAAGCGGTGGTTCCCATTATTCACCGGGACCTGAAGTCCAGCAACAGTAAGAGAGTTAACTTACCACACACTCAATAATGCCCCCTTATCTTTACTAAGAGTTACAGGTATTTGCTCTACAGTAGAAGCACTCGAGAGATTGTCACATTGCTATTTTCTTTCGCAATTATAGCAGGTTAATCATTAATCGTATCATTAGCACACCAACCTTTCCCAGAAAAGCCTTCGTTTGGGTTTGAAAGATGGGAACAGAACAGCCACGTGCTCTTTAAGTCTTATGTCATTTATAAATTCAGTCTATAAGGGTATGTAGCACCTATGTTGGCAACTAAGGAAACTGCCTTGCTAAAAGCAATGTGATTCTCAAAGGAAGTCACTAGCTAGTGAAATCGAAGCCCAGAAGAAAAGCTATAAAATTGATGGATGCTCTGAGATTGAATGGAGGCTTTGTAGTTGATGTTAAAGAGACTGCATCCTTCCAGGTCCTTCTGGCAACTTCAACAATTACTCATCTCAGAATACATCCCAGGCTGCAAGACTTTAAATATTTAATTTACAAAAAAGTAAATTTCTAAAGCATTACATGTTTTAAATAATGATATTTATGTAAGTAATAAATAAATACATTTAAATTTGTTTGTTAATAATTGATCAATAACTATAGTGTTAATGATTTAACAGATTGAAAAAAATCTAAGCAAGTTTTCATCTGTTTCTTTCTATTGAGTTTCATGTTTGATAAGTAAAAGTTTTAAATGCTGTAAAATAAGAAAACATGAAGCTCATAAATATGTTATTAAAATGCCTCTATTTAGCAATCTATTTGTGTTGGGACAACATAAAGGAATTAAGTCAACTTATTAGTTTTTACAGATTTAAGTGGATTAAACATGAAACAATAAAATTTGTCCCTCAACAAATCACTAGAATTGTATTGTTTCACCTTATTTTAAATAAGAAACTTGAACAAACAACGAATATTTTTTTTGAGTGACAATTAATGTCAAATTTAATTTTGATATTGATTATAAGGATTTAGTCAGCTGCTTTACACATTTGTTTTTTTTTATTTTATACTATAATATAATGCAAGGACTCCCTCCTTTTCAGTCTTAATTCTTGTGTTCTCAACAGCAGTGTTTTTCCTTTTTTTATACTTGGAAACTGCACAACTATTTTGTTATAGCTATCTATGAATAAATTAGCATATTTAGTAACTGTTTATTTCGTTTTCATTGAGAATACATGATTACGTTTACTTTATTAATAAAAGGGCAAAGAGACATTATAACTCGGAGGTCGATAGATATTTACACAATGGGTATATTACTTTCCGGTTAGAGCTTTATATAACTATTTTCTATTTCATAAGGTTCCTTTTACAGCATTGACGTTGTAATGTAATTCAAATATAATTAGTTTAAAGATCTAAGCATCCATTTGTTTGTTAAAGTGCAAAAAGAGTCATAAGGCGCCCTCATTAGTGGCAGGCCAGCGTAGAAATTCTATTGAAGATACTGGGGTGAATTTAATTTTCAAATTTGAAAGACATGGTGTGAAAAAATATAAAAGACATGGTGTGAAAAAATATAATTTAATGCAATTCTTCTTGTTTGGTCTCCCTTTATATCGCATCTCAGCCAGGCAATGAAGGTCACTGTTTTTTAAAGAAGTCATATCTTAAACACTGTAAAAAAAATTTCGTGGGATGTCAAATAACCGGAACCTCTGGGGCTGGCGGACTGAATTTAAATGTCTGTGTGTATATACCCCATTGTGCTAAATGTGGTCCCACTTAATATTAGGTGGCCTTAGCTAATACACTTACACTGAAATTAATAATTTGTTACAATGTACCTATTGTGTAAATGCATGTTTCTGCAATGTACTTATGATTGATTAAATACCTGCATGTAATTACATTTGTTATTAATTTCTTTAATTACATTGGTTATTACGCTATTGATCATCTCTTATACCTTAACCCACCCTTAAACCTAACCATAATACCAAACCTGTCCCTAGTCCTACCTGTATTCCACCTCAAAAGCACCAGAAGTGTTCTACAATGCATTATGAATACATTAAGTACATTGTATTTATTCTTTAATGCAAGTACCTAGTAGTTACGACCACCTAATATAAAGTGGGGCCAAGACTTATTTACCTGCTAAGAAGGTGTAAACTGTCACAGTATCAGATTTTTTCAAGTTTTATTCATGTTTTGATCATGTTGATAATTTTGAGGTCATTGTGTATATATGACACTGTGGATTTTAAGGACAAAAAAGGAGAATCCTTTATTATATAAAAATCTAACAAATGAATATAATAGTTGCCTACTGAGTATAAACAATATGTGTGGTAGGGCTACAGGATGTTAGAAAAATCCGACGTTGCAATTTTTTTGTTTTTCTACAATATATATTGAGATTTTAATATAAGTTCACCAGATTAATTAAATAGCTGTATTTGGAAACATTTAATTAATTTAGATCGATTGGGATGATCAAGTTTTTTTTTATACAGTGCGTTTGCATAAATTATAATAAATTACAAGCATATAAAGATACAACAGAGAAAAGATAAAAGTTAAATAAACAGTCCTTCATGGTTTTCTGGAGAGTATTGAAGAACAGACATTAAATAAATTAAATTGATTATTTGAAAATAATATTATTTAATAATGTCTTTATCTTTTATTTTTTATTAAATAATCTAATCCTTCAAAGTGCCTATTGTGAATACCTACACTGCGATATGGATGCTCAAATGATATATTGTGAGTCCCTAATATGTGGTTAAATGACATCTTTATTAAATATTTTCAATGTTCCATTTATTTCTACTCTCTATTACTGTGAGGCAGGGACAACATCAACCCATAGAACAATAATTTGCTATGCGTTCCCTCAATTTTTTTTAAATGGTGTGTTTTAATTTATAGGTTAAATAATGTCTATGTAAAACCTTGACAACACTTTAAATGCTATGGTTGGTCTTGTGACTTTTGAAGCTGTTATGTGTATTTAAAATTACAAAAATGTTTCTTAAGATCTTCTGGGTGCATTCAGGGTTTGTTGAGTTATGTTTACAAACAGAACTCATTTATTGAATTAAACTTATTTAATTGAATGAAACTCATTTAGTTGAATGAATAATTGAAACCCCCCGCTATAAACCAATAGGACAATCTTGGGTCTTCCGGGTTTTGGCTCATCCCTTCACCACATTATTGTGCCTGACAAAAGAGCAGACTATTTGAAAACTGCACCTGCGTTTCAGCAGTAGGTTTGAGTCATTTGCTTGAGCAGAGTTTCTCAGTCTAAAGTTGCACCCAACAAGTGAAATGCCACTAGCTGTAGAAATGATGGCTTCTGAATGAGTGTGACCCTTGGCAGGTTGTGAAGTTGAGAGGTTAGAGTTTGAACAGCTGGTGTCCTCCTTGAGAAACGGCCTGTCTGCTAACAAGGTTCAGAAAATGCATCTGAAAGAGCTTCACATTAAGAATCACCAAGCATGAATATACATATTATGTTTGTTTTAAGGCTGGGCGATATGGCAAAAACGCAGTCTTTGATCAACAATTGTTTTCCATATTGAACAATAAAGATATATATTTCTATATCAGTTCCAGATTAAAAAGAGTATCCCAACAATGACTGAAGCCACAAAAATGAGAGGGTCCATTAAGCACCATAACCTATTTTTGGTGGCTGATAATTTTTGGCTGTCAAAAATTCAGTGCATCTTTAATATCAACACACTTCTAGATTCCCATTGTTGCAATTTTTTGCTGTGTGTTAGATCAACAGAGTAAAAACGCACAGAGCTTATCATTCTTATCGACATCAATTGTATCGCGATTCAATATAATATTGTTTATCGGCCCAGCCCTAGTTTGTTTGATGATCAATTTTTTTTTTTTTTACTGCTAAAAAAATATAGGACAGTGTTTATTTCTTAACTCTGTGTAGTGTTTTTCCCCTTAGTGTATCAAAGTAGTTAAAGGCAAGGATTTCTTTCATGTGAATGGAGATATTTGCCCTTATTTTCTAAAACAACTCTATAGCTGCAGGGGATACTACATGGCTATCATGTTTCTAAGTCATAGATGGAGTTGGGAAAGACCCTAATGCTTATCTGCCTTTGGTATGCTACACATTGGTTAACCAATACCTAGAAAAGGCCTATCAGTGGTTGCATTTAAAAGTTAAGTAACTTTTTAACAGTGGCTTAACCGGTCTGATTGATACTCACACAGACCGGTCTGATTGATACTCACAAAAATCTTTCTACTTAAATGCCGTCTTGACTGCTGCATGAATTTTAAAGTCTTCTATCATTGCCACCTAAATGTATTCAGCTGCTTTGTTGGATGAATGTATAAACAAGCTGTTTGTGATATGTATTACTGTTGAATAGTTTGTTTTAAATTAAGGCTATACATTATTTGATAACGCAGTATAAATAATAATACTACAAGAGATTATTACTGTTCTAAAAAGTTAATATGTAATTTATTAAAGTGATGTGAAATCTGTATTGTTATCTGGCATTAGGCATGGGACGAAAATTGTTTACGTGGATTGGAAAAGTCAACATTTTAAAACCGCCAAAATTTCTGGTTATACTGTTCCCACTGTATGTGTAAGATTTTATTTATTTATTTTTTTGCTTTTTAGGGCAACAGTATTTCCAACGAAAAGATGCTGTTTTAAATTGTAAAAAAAATCTGTATTTTTGAAACTAATTAAGACTGCAGAGTCAGTGATTTATTTTGAATTATTTAGTCTGACGTATTTACCGCTCCAAAATATTTTAAATGTTTCTCAAAATCAAATATAATGGGCCCTATCATACACCCGGCGCAATGTGGCGCAAGGCGTGGCGCAATACTTGTTTGGTAGTTTCAGCTTGGCGCAAGAGTCGTTTTGAGGCGTTGCTCTACGCTGTTTAAATAGCAAATGCATTAGCACTCATATGTGCGTCCATAGGTGTTCTGGTCTAAAAAGGAAGACGTTCTGAGGTGCACTGCTGGCGCGT